CCTGCTGCCGTGGCTGGATGCAGCTCAGCTGTGGGGGTTTCGGGGACATGATGCAGGGATCACAGTCATGCCCTTCAGATGGTTTTGGTTTTTTTCCTAGCTAAAGTAAATGTGACAAGCCCTTGATCTGATTTTTCTGAAGTGGAGTGGGTTGGTTTGTTCCCTCTTTGAACGCCCCGGCTGTCACACATGCCCTGCATGTTTCCTTCAGCTTTGTTTTTGGCACTTGGCTGATGTGATGGAAGCACGAGTGTCACAAGGCAGCAGCTCTGTGTTATTTTAATAAAGACTAGGATGTCATCTTTGAAAAAAAAAAAAACTTCTTACTGAAGACAGGAGCCTTCCCTTTGATGTGCGTTTTGGTAGACTGGGCTGATTAGTGGGAAAAATATCTTGTTGCAGGAGCCCCAGGCAGTTCCGCTGGGAAGCTGCCCGACTTTGGCTCTGCTCGAGGGGTGCAGAAACCCATCTTATTTTCCAGGCTGGGACTTTCTGGACCTTGGGGCCAACCTTTTGAGTCCCAGTTCATGTGTTGGAGCTGGCAGACAGCTGAACACATTGAGTGCTTAAAGAGGGACTCTTGGCTTGTGAAGAAGGCTGTTGTGCTTTGCAGCATCCGATCGGGGCTCAGGTTGTTGTCTCGGTCTGTGTTGTGAGCAGTCAGCAGGAGGAGGGAGGTTGTGTACCCAGCCAGGGCACCGGCCCCAAAACAGCCACCCATCAGCAGGTGAGAAAGCAGCTTTTCCAGACCCACATCATGAGGCATTGCCAGGGAGTGGCAGGTTTTGCTTTCTGTTCCACCGCCTGCTGCCAGCGTGCATCCCTGCGTGCTGCTGGCTGCGGTCCGGGTGTTGTGGCTGTCACAGAGCAGAGGAAATAAGGCTGAAAAAAAGAGGAGGGTCTCTTGGAGTCCCTAGCTCAGAGTGGCCCAGCTGTGCCTTCAGTCCTTCATGGCATACCCTGTTTCAGGATGAGCAACAAATAGGGTTATCTTAATTAAAGTGATGCCCTGGGGTTCCCTACGCTCATCGCTGCTTCAGGTCTGTCTCCATCTCTGTTCTAGAAATATTTCGTAGTGGTCCAATGTAATTTCAGTAGCAACATCAACAAAAAGTGACACCAGCACAATCCCTCCCATGGATGGGTTTAGACTGATGTGGTGCTGCCTTTCCCTGGCTGGGCTTCCACAAAGGAAAGGGAACAAAAATAAAGGAGTCTGTGCAAGGAGCACGCTGTTTTGCAGAGTTTAAGGTACATCAGATCTGCAAAGAAGCGCTGAATTGTGTAATTCAGGGTGCAGCACGGGGAGGTTCACTGTTTTAAACCCGAGTTTAAATCCCAACCTGACTCTGCTTGGGAAGATTAGGAAAGGGTTGGTGCCATGTAAGCATATACACAGTTCAGGCAGCACAGTTTTGCAGAGCAAAGAGGCAGTGCTGCGTGCATTCCAACGGTGGGATAATTTATTCATCGCAGCCCTGAAATAAGTGGATTTCAGCCCGAATTAGCAGTCCTAGGAGGAGGATATGACCTCAGCATCATTTGCAAGCTGCTTCTTGCTGCTGGCCATGTGGGATGGGACCTTTAGAGAAAGCTGTCTTCGGCCAGAGACGTCTGGTTTTTCGGCAAAGCCTGCCTTTGTGCGCGGGGGCGGCCTCGTCTCTGCTGGGGTCACGGGAGTGCAGGGTGCTAAATCCAGCGCGTGCCAGCAAAGCAGCTGGGGATGAATCAGGGCTCTGTATGGACTGACACGGACCCGGGAGCGAATAATCTGCTAACTGGGGAGAGCCAGCAGACGTTTGTCGTGGCTCGGGTCTCCTGCCTGAAGATGCCGTGGGAAAGAAAGGAGCTTCTGCTGCTGGTTTTTGCTGTTTTGGAAAGGCAGGTAGCATTTTCCTCTCCCCTAAGGGTAGCCTGTGTAATACATATAAGTGCCTACCCAGGACACATCAGCTTTAGGATTTAAATTTGCCCCTGCTTTGCTGCCGAAGCCCCTGCAGACCTGCTGCATCCCGTCGGGCATAGCCAAGGCTCCTGCTGCGCTGACAGCGCCTGGATTGGGAGCAACCGTCATCCACACGGAAAGAAAATCCTGCGCCGCAAAGTCCAGGCTGCCCAGTGCCTTGCAAGGCCGCATCATCAACCAGCTGGCAGAAAAGTCCTCTTCTCCAGGGTGGTGGTGGTCATGGTGGAGGCTTCACCCACCACTCCAGGTGGTTTTCACAGCTCAGCTCCCCCAGCACATCACTGGTGGAGAGACACTGGAGGAGTCTTTCCTCTCCAGAAAGGTCACTCTTTGAGCCCTAATGGAACTTAGGAAGGGGGGCTGGCCCCCCTTCAGGGTCTTGGAGATGTGTGGTGGGTTCCCCAGGTCTTCCTTTTTTCCTTTTTT